TGTAAGCCTCTCTATATTAAGCTAGAAATTCTTCCTTTCTACTATTGATTAATGAATCAGTGGTCTTTGTAAAAAATTACTTACTAAGAGGCGAGAACATATTTCCAATCAATGTTCATAACTCTAACATTCGACGTTGAAATCCTATACGTCACGTTCAGTATCAACAGATCACCAAAAACACTTCACATACAACACTGTTCATTAGTTTTTAAACTTATTGTCAGATGCATTGAATAATTAAAATCGATAGACAAGTTTAAGTGCCAACTAAAGTATTTTTCTGCTGCATAACTGTTTCTATGCCGATAGAAACTCTACTGAGCATCAAAAAGGAAAATAATATTCGTTTTAACAATGATATCTTATGTATTAGCTGATATTTAGTCTGTATAATTCTAAAATGCTAAATAAGCCTGAAACAAGTAATGGGCCTCAGCTCCTGGGTCAATACTCCCCATCTCGATCAGGTGTTCTGTCGATTCCCAGATTCTGAGATGGCTCCTTGTTTCGCCTCTGGACATAAATCTAGCTTCACTATCTGTGTATGTTTTCTTGAGCTCCTTCGGGGATGTATATATGCAAATAATAATTTTCCATTTTATCGCGACAGGAAAACGATTTCTTCGAGTAAAGCACATGGATAAGAGCCTCCATCTGTAGCATATTTGACTTTGCAAATAGTTTTTATTGTACGGGAGTGAATATTTTCATATTAATTCTTGCCAAAAAACGAGCGTTGCTACGTGTATTCACAATTTATCTCAATATGTATATGAGTTATATTAGACATTCCAGAGCTTAAGAAACCATGCACATATTCCACTTTTCTCCATAGTACGTCGCACTGTTTTTAACTGTTATTGACATTAAATAAATTAATTAATTAATTACAGACTACTTTTATTAATATTTTATAGACCTTTTAGCAATTTATAACCCTGTTGACAGAAACGACAAATGTAATTTACTTGTTTTCAATATTTCATTTCACTATAAGACGTGCATTTCTTTCAAAACGAGAAAATTACACATTTCACGGACAATCAATACTTGGACAACACAATAAATTAAAATAAAAACCGGTAGGTCTATTCACTTCATTTCTAAAGTTCATATCGTATCATGGGATTTCCATATCCCCTTAAGAAAATTCAAAAGCATTTTAAAGAAAGTAACAGCACAGGCAATAATAACGAACTAGTGGTACAACAATATGGTACAGACTTGCCCGTATTAGTTTTCTATTTCCTTTGGTCTCGGCTACCTATATGAATTTGCCACATATTCTTTCCAGCAGCCATCTATCGCCACCCAAAGTACATCTCTTTTGATATTTTCTTAATTTTTCGGTTTCCTAATAATACGGAACGGAGATATTATTTTAAGAATGTTTAAAAAAAGTAAAACCTCGTTCTAAATGGCAATTTCCTTTGAAAAATTTGAAGCACTTTTTAGAAAAGTGGCATTTAAGCCCTACTGTAAATTTGAACCTTTTTTCACCGAAAATGTTTGAGTTTTCGAAAATCTTTATTAGACGTAATTTGAATCACATTAACATATAAATACAATTGTGGTTACAAATTGCTAGAAATGTGCATATTAACGGCGTGAGAAATCTTTCAAATACATTACATTTGTGTAATTTGATCATAAAAAGTACCCAGAAATGTCATATTAAAGAGTGCAATCGAGTGCAAGAGCCCATCGAAAAGTTAGAAGAAAAAAATTGTAGACGATTTGAGAAAATGGCGTTTGAGAGTTTCTGAAAATGCCGAATTCTGAGCTAGTTTTCACAGAATACTGTTTTCGAGAAATTTTATGATATTAATTAAGGCACATGTACTCAGAAACATAATAATGTGAACAAATAGCCGCGAATACAAATATTAATGACGTGAGAGAAATCGAAAAAAATATTTTTTTGTAATTAATGAAAAAACAAAAGAATGAGCTATATAGCGGTTATGCCATCTCATACAGTACAATTCGCTCTATTCCTACCAAAAGAAAAAAATTAGAGCCTTTATGAGAAAATCTTGTTTTAATATTTTTCCATTATAGTAATTATATATTGTATTATAGTAATTGTATATTGTATTATACTAATATACTAATTATATATTGTATTATAGTAATTATATATTATATTATATTATATATGATAGTAATTAATATTACTCCGTATATACGTACGTATACGGGAAAGAAAAAATTATGTATATTTTGAACGTTAAGAACAAAACGTAAGCAAATGCAATATCGCAAAAAATGCGACCATATCATATCGAAACTTAGTGGAGAAAGATCTATTTTAAATAAAATCCTTGATAATTGAAAAATTGAAGGAAAAAACCATACAAAACAGAAGAGATTGTACTGTCTGTTGTACTAAATTCGCTCTTTAAAAAGGTCATGTACACATTTTTGAAAGAATGCAATTAGTTTTTGTGGAAATTGCACTTGAAATTAACTCATTTTTTTCAAAAACCGCTTCAAATTTATTCTTTAAATTTTCTCTACATATGTAATAAAGGACGGTAAAAAATATGATGCTAGTTCCATTGTCGAATTGCTCGTTTTTTGTTTTTGTTTTTTTGAAAATTACAACAACAAAAAGTATTTAAAAATTACAAAATTGAAGTTAGTGATTTTTGCCTCAGACAAAGACTGTTGTACAAAATTAACTCTTTAAAAATGTCCAATTTTTTGTAAAAGTAGTTAGTAGTTTTGCGAAATTTGTTTGAAATTAATGAAACATAATATGGGCGTTCCGCCGTACATAAAGTATGTGCATTTCTTTCACAATGAAATGCAATTCCGAATAGTATCTTGAAACATTTTATACGTATTTTATTGAATAGTCTATTTCCCAGAGGATCTCTGAAGGCACTGCCTCTAGTGGCTTGTTTTCTTTGTCACTTAATACCGTGGTATCGCATTTCCATTTTGCTTGGAACAAATGGTACTCAGAACAACAGCCACCCTTCTAATAATTTTGTGTAATGTTTGTAAATTGAAATGTCGTAAACACTGCACTTCAAATGAATTGTATTATGCTACAACTTTCGTCAGATGCATATCACAACTCTATAGACGATTTTCAGAAAATGCGTTTGGAATTACGATTTACCTTCCCACCTTCGAAGCACCATTAAGATTTTAAAATATTTTTTTATAAGTAGTTTACGAATATACAAAAATAAATCAGAATAGAGATAATTTTATTTGTATTTATGTCTTCTCAGATAGTATCTTTTCCAATGCAACTTTTCTTTCATGGTGGATTTTTACCTGATACAACACCGCGTATGTCACGTACGTACCTAACAGCTTTTCGTAACTCCTTTTTCCTGACGTCGTCCAACAGAGTCGACTTTGCATTCAAATGTGTTTGGACAAAAATGTCAGTTATTCCACTTGCGTACGTGTACGCGGCCTAAGACAAGAGGGGTCAACTTCTCCCCTTAAGAAAGGCTACGCGATCCCTTTCAAACGTTTCAGGGGATCACCTCTCCCCCCTCCTGTGCCACACCCCTGCGCACGCCTAGGATAATAAATTAAATCAGCATATTTGGCGTTTTTCGAGTATTTTTACTTCTTCCTTCCGAAACCGAGAATTGTAAATGTATTTTTCTGGCCAAAAGTCTATCAAGTAAAATCTTAAGTTTCATTAACTTCATTATCCATCATTCAATTTCTTACCCAATTCTTTTTGCCGAAGTTTTCGACAAAAATTATTTTCAATTTTATACACATTGTGTTCTGCCACATTTAGCTAAAAGCAATAAATTAGCAGTTTGTGGATTTGTTAAGTTAAAAGTTTGCTAAAATTCCCAAATGTTCCCACGATCTTAAACATGACTTTGCAGAATATTCAGGAAAAGAAAACGAGAGGCATGTCCTGATCATTTGTGTGCATTAAGAATGCACATTAAGTATGTGGTAAATTATTTACACAGTCTCGCGTGAAAATCTCTACTTTGTCGTCTTAAGTGTAAATGGACCTATTGGAGACCCTTTGTCTATTAAGTGCCTGAATAATGCATTTTTGTCAACACTTCTGATCCGCCAAAATTTATTTAGTAGGAAATGACATATGAATTCATACATTTAGATCATCAATAGTATCACATTTATGAACGTACTAAATTAACCCTCAATCCCGCCTGAAACAAAAGGAGCGTTTAATGAACAGTGTTAATATTAAACAATATCAGATTTACAGTATATTATCACCTAGTACTCGGCCCCATCCGAGTTACAGAAGTTCTTTAAATCAAAGCAATTTTTACTCACACTATTTCTAGCCTATTTTATGAATATTCGCAACGCATAGTCTTACGGTATAGAAAGGTATAGGGGAAAAATCATGTTAAAATATGGAGAAAAGGATTAAATGTAAATGCAGAAAAGGAAAAATGACAACAGACTTCAGCTCAACGCTGTTCACCACGATGCCAGTTGAAATAGGAAGTACATCATCTTCAAGGAGAACAAACAAAAATGTGTTTTAAAAGTACTTTCATTAGTTTAAAAATGATTTGAAATAAGAAATGGCAACGCAAATTATCCATGGATATTTCACGTAAAACTAAGGTAGGTTTCCGTGCCTCAAAATATCAAAGCTTTAAGCAGCCTCTGAGATGGTTGCATCAGCTGATTCGAAGCTGACAGTCTACCACGCGCGCAACATCGAAAAAGAATGTTTACTTGTGTAGCCAATTTATTATCCGCTCCACCATAAACAAAAGCAACCAAACAAACTGCTCCTCACCGCTAATGACTCGAACGAAATCGCTCTTTATCAGTCCCCCGCACAACAGACTCTTGTTTACCTATCGCTGGCAAGAGGCGGTCGCATCGCGGGCGACAGCCTGGGTAGGCCAACCGCGGCGAGAGCGCCCCAAACGAGTTCGCATCGGACAACAGCCACTACACCAGGGAGCAGAAGGGTCATCTCCAGGTACCTGCTCAATGACCTCGGGCTGTTTACTTACCGTGGAGTGGAGCGGAGTGGAGTGGCGCGGCGAACGCGGCAACAGTGACACTGGCGGCGACGTGAAAGAGCCCCCCACTGACGCAGCAGGTCGCAGCGAGCACACTGCCTGCGCACTGCCACTGCGCACTGCCCTCGCCCTTGCTGCGCGTGGCGCAGCGCCGCGTCGGGGCCGCTGCAGCCGACAGAGTGCGTTGCCGCCGCGTCGCACTTCGGCCTCGGGCGCGATAAACTGCCCTCTCAGCACGATATCGGTCCCGGTGATGACGCCCGCTCGCCTACAATCGGAAGGAGTGCCATCTCGCGGAGTGCGTTGGTACTCGGACGGGAAATGCAGATGAACGAGGTTGACGCTTCACGGTGCGGTTAGAGAGATTACGAGGGTTCAAACCCCCTGTAACATGTAACCTTTTTTTTTAAATTTGAAATGAAGATTGCCCTTTTAAATCTAAATAAAAGGAGGATGAGGAATATTTATTTTATGTTTGGGTTGAAACACTACTTTTTAACTGTATGTGAATTAAATGATTTTAATGCAGTTCAAATGTGCCATAATCCAACTGTTGCCTTAGTAGCGTCTCTGATAGAGAAGTCCAAGGTATTACGATGGCGGATTTTCGACACTGGTCACATGTCTACTAGGTCGAATTCAGCTGCTTCTGGACGGCAATTCTAAAGGCCGGCTACTCTGGAAGGGTATTTTTCCATGGTTCCTCCAGGCGAATGCCGGAACGGTGTCTAGCAAACCGGTCCACGCGCTATCTTTCCTTCTTCAATCTTGTGCCCTTCTCTTCCCTTACGCACACATACTTACACTTACATACACTACACTACTCCTCACCATGAGTTGAGCTTTTCCGACCGCGGCGGTGCCGACGTGTAGGCTGATCTCACGTTCCAGAAAGCGAAGACCACCGCCACTTCTCGGCTGCACTCAAGCGCTGGGCTAATGACAAGAACCCTGAAGTGTGGCAAAATGCCTCTTTATTATTGTACAATATGAATCACATAATTGTACTTCTAAGTTGTTTTCAATTTCATTTTCTTTGCCTTTTTTATAATTATTTTGCAATTTCTCCTGGCACCGATTTCAATCAAGTTGGAAACATTCAAGCAAGCCTAGACAAAATGAAGCCACGGTTGTGTTGTTTTTCTGTGGATGCGGAGGCTCCAGGACTAGGAATTGTTAAAGATCTAATTGAAAAATAAAGTTGATGCCAGTTTTTGAGCTTCTTTTCATTGATGTTGGCAGGCTTTGTTTGCTCACGAGGAATCCCATCCTACTTTTGAGAATGGTCTCCTATCCCTTTTGCGCAGAGCCATCTCAATATGATGTATCATTATCAGTAGCGATTACAGAAGTGCGAATAACAAAAAATATTATTCCATTTTGACTGATGCCATTTTAAGATTCAGAAAGGAATCCGCAATAGCATTTCAAAGTGAGAGCGTTGCAAGTAAAACATTCGTAATCATATGGAATGTGGAATCAAGATAAAGAAAATATCGTTTCCTTACACGTACGTGCTAATGTATATTTTAGAATTTAAAAAAGTGAATCAATTTAATGTTTACAATAATTTATTTTAAATGTTATTTTTAATTTTTATATGTATTTTTGCTATCTTATTTTAGCTGCAACAAATACTAACACTAAAATTGGCATGCCTCATTGAATTCTTCCTGTCCACCTATTTTGAGGTAAAATAATTGCCTTCATAACTGCCTTTTTGAAGGTAAAATGAAAGCGCGAGTGTGTGAGGATGTCTGTGACTGAAAGTTTGTGTGTTTATGTATGAGAGTGTGTGTATCAATGTGTATGTGTGTGTGTGTGTGTGAGAGAGAGAGAGAGAGAGAGAGAGAGAGAGCGAGAGAGAGCGAGAGAAAGCGAAAGAGAGGGAGGTAGAGGGGTAGAGAGAGGGGGAGAGAGAGAGTGAGAGAGAGAGGGGGAGAGAGGAGAGAGAGGGAGAGAGAGGGGGGAGAGAGAGGGAGAGAGAAAGAGAGAGGGGGAGAGAAAGGGAGAGGGGGAGAGAGAGAAAGAGAGAGAGGGAGAGAGAGAGGGTGAGGTTGGGATCTACTAATTATCAAACTAGTTGTTTTTTTTTTGTTAATTAAGGTCGCATCAACTACTAGTTGATGCGACTACTAGTCATTAGCGACCACTATTGCGTGTAACGGTATGGTAACTATGAGGATGACACAATATGATGATAAGGATGTAAAAAGACGAACACAATACGAACATGCCCGAGGCGGGACTCGTCCCCGCGATCCTTCGGTCTGAGATCGCTACGGCACTTCCGCCATCCGGACCGGCGATCACACTAGTTGACGCGTCCTGGCATAGAAAATAATCACAATAGACCTAGAGAAACGGACGCATTCCTAGATGTACACTCAGTTAATGTTTAAGAGTGAATAAAATCAGCTGTTAAGACGGTATGCGTTTTTGGCGAAGAGCGTGTTACGTCGAGTATTCGATGTACGTTGAGTTCACGTAATTTTTATAAGAGTTAGGTGATACCTATGGAATTAAAGATAAAGAGCCGGAGGCATGAGCAACCTAAACCAAGATGGGGCAGTTACGTAAGTAGCCCCTTTTGCTCCCCTTTTCCATGTATTGTTTTACTTAAATAGTATGACTTACTTTCTAGTAAATAAATTTAAGAATCTACAGGGAGAATGAAATTATAAGTCTAATGATGCAATTAACAATATTACAATCTATTTTTTAAATACTAAATATTTTGTTTAGAAAGCAATTTGATATTTGTACTCCAATAAATTTCGTGTTTTTTCATTAACCCAATTCTAGTGGGACCTAGATGTATTATCATTTGCTTCTATTAACTGGTTTTATAATTATACACTAAATTTTATTAATGTTAAAATTAATAGAATGAACGCTTATTTGCTATGATTTCTTGAATATATCATATTCAAGAAAAACTACACTACAGTTGTAATACAATACAAGGATATCCTTGCGTTACAAGGAAAGAGTTGGTGATGCGAAGATAACGAGCGTTTTATTTCGAAGATTGGCTATTTTGAAATGCAAATATTAGTGAGGGTATGTAAATGAACGCAATACCCAGCAACCGTTTAATTCCCTTCAGAAAAGCTTCACGCTTTTAAGTTAAGGTAGATAGCAGGATATCCTACAATAGTCCGCCACAATGTACATGTACTGATCAACATAAGTATACATTTCAGATTCATTTCCAGAAAATAACTGTAGTTATAAATATTTTCAGAAAAATATATAGTAATAGTATTGTTCCGCACTTTGTAAACTTTCCTTTCTTCATCAGTTTTGGAGAATACGAATGACATGAAGTAATATTTTTGAGGTTTTCTATTTTTCGTATAGAGTGCGCGTAGTATGTATGCGTAGTTCTTTTTGGTTGCTGTTTCTACAGTTCTTTTCTTTGAGCGACGTAATCGCAGGGATTCAGCTAGTTGATTTTATATTGAACCAGGCTTGCCTGATGGTTTGGAGTGTTTATTTCCAAAATATATTTATTTATTGCCGTACCTAGTGGTACGAGGCCCCTATCGAAAGTTTCACGTGGGCCACCCTCTGCGCCCATGCGCATGCCCATGTAGACTTTTTTCCCGGGGCAGAATTGATGGAAAATACAACTGAGACACACTTAACAGATAATGTGAAGCTTGAAATATAGAGGCAGGTGAAACACGTTTCGAATTTGAATTTTAAAAAAGGTTTTAATTTTTTAAAATACATTCCAAACTTTAAGGACAACCAACTTATAACTTTTTCAACTTATAACAGGAGTAATTTACTCTGATCAGTTATATAACAAGACGATCTCTCGTTTGAGCCAACTTCGTGTGTGTGTGTGTGATTTTACTCGAATTATTCAAAATGATGAATGACCACTGAACGCAACACATCACATCCAAACAAGAATTCCCATTATGAATTTGGTAGTTTTGGCATTTATAGTTTCAAGCTAACATGCTTATAAAATATCTTTCAAAAATTTTGGGGGAGGGATCCGAACTGAAATTGCACCCTCCTCCTGAAAGTATTTCTGGCTCCGCGCCAGTACGTTACAGGCTATGTAGAAATAGAATTCTTTTCTAAGAATTCCTAAGATTCAATGTTAATAGCTTAATTCGTCTAACCAAGAATCGCTTCAATCACTTACAGAAAAAATAAATTGAGAAGTACACTTCAAGAAACAATGAACTCCGAATTCATTTATGAATAAAGATATATAAAGCAACAAAAAGCAATTTTTTTGTGGGGTGATTCTCTGTTTCTAGACAATTTGCGCTAATGAAATCCAGAATGAGACCCCAATCAATATCTCGCAGAAAATAAAAACCTTACTTTGATTAAGAAGATACTGCCTTTCTGGATGACGTGAAACTTAATATCTCTGGAAATTTCCTTGTCTGGCTGACTTATGAAGTTTCGGCGTTTCCAGAGAAAGGTGTGGGTCGATTATTTCACCTCCATTTATGAGTAAGCTAGATGACGTCCACATTGTACCACATAATACCAATTTGAAGAAACAAGAGGAAGCAATGACGAATATACTTGACACCCTTGGCAGAACGCAATGCCGACTCGCGTTTCCCAACCTTTTAGTCATCACGGAACTCTTGACCTTGCACATAATTTCTCTCATGGGGCTCCAATACGGAAAAAGTGGATAAATTTAAAAAAATTAACTTATAAAGATGCCATATGTCCAATTTTCACTGTTAACTCTGAATTTTCGAAAATTGCGAATGCTCGACCACCTTCACTTTATTAAAAAATTCACCTGGAAGCCACCTTCACTTAGTTTTGAAAAATTATTTTCCCATGTGTATACCGTGAAAAACACAACAAATTCTAGATCACATTTTAAAAGTTTGTCCAAGATTCAATCATCTAAGACAGTTATTTGGATTTAATGATGAAACAATACTCCATTCTACTGAAGATAAAAAAAAGCATAATCATATTTGTAGAGCAACAAATATTTTTCGGGGTATTTCATACCATTATCACCTGTGACAATGTCACAGTGATATACAATGAATTACTTTACATTTGTATTGTATATTTTTTTTAAAGACTTAATATGTTTGTAACAAATAATGTACATCAGCTTCCGGGTCAATGACCCCATCTCGATCATGTTTTTGTCCAGTTTCTCTGATCCATTGAGCTAATGC